GTAACATATATTTTCTTTTGGATGCTTGGATCATTTTAGTGATGGGGCTATCTTTTAAACCTAAACAAATATAGAAGACTGAGCAATTATTTCTTGAATCCTGTTGAGTACGAATTTTTGGGTTCGATTTGGTTTCAGAGAGAATTCATCGAATTAAATTCCATTGTATTCATAGCATGAGGGAATCGCACATAGGTATTCACTGAAAGACAAATTTTGTAGAAATATCTAAAACAGATATAGAAATTTTCACGTATGTATAGCTTGAATTAGCTTGTATTCATAGCATGAGGGAATCGCACATAGGTATTCACTGAAAGACAAATTTTGTAGAAATATCTAAAACAAATATAGAAATTTTCACGTATGTATAGCTTGAAGAGTTGAGAAACTTGTGTGGCTGATCACAATTATGTATCACCCCAAAGTTTTTGTTATTTAAACCATATTTGCAGGATAGAACAATGTCTGAATAGATTACAAATTCAAGGTGAATTGTGTAGAAAGAAGATGTTTGCTTCAGTTTCTTACTGCCTTATTTAAATCTTTTGAACCGCTCCTATATCGAACTAGAGGATTTTCTACTTAAAGGTACTATATAAAATAATAAGGCAATATTTTATTTGTAATAAACTAGCTCTGAGTATGGATACACTACACGTTTCGAGCTGGTTTGCATCATAAGTTCTCGTTGTTCATTTGGACCTTGTTGCATTCATCTCGTCATGCTGATCGTTCACGCATATGTCTGTACCTATGTATTACAAAATAGGATCTATTTCGCCTCCTTCGGCTTGTTGCTTACATTAGTTTTAGGCTTTCTAGAATGTATGCTCCTTGCTGAGAAATTCATAAGCAGTGTCAAAGGAAAAATGTCTTCTTTTACAGAGCCATTTTGTATATTCTTTCACCAGGAAAGTGTTAGTCCACATTGGTGTTTAGTGTTGGTAAGCGACTCAGGAACAGCAAATACTGAAATCGAATGTGTTACAAGCATTGGCTTGTAGCTGTGATACCCATTTGCCACTTGAAGCTACAAGTAATGCACTGAAATCCATTCAATAAATACTTGCCACATGCTGTGTGCCGATGCCAACGAAGGCGCCTACCATTTATTTTGATGGCAAGGTTAACATATGGCCTCGATTTGAGTGCAACAGTCGTTGCGGCTTATCAGTTAACGGCCAATGGGCTGTGAAGAGACAGAGTAAGAGAAAGAGAGAGAGAGAGAGGAAAAGGCAAAAAAACAACAGCTACGGCTGCATACAAATAAAATTCCAATTAATTATTCATTGACATTTATTGATTGAATTTGATAATGATTCTGCAGCTTTTTGTTTGTTTTTTCTTTTGAGAGTTTTACATTTAATATGCTTTAGCTTTTGTTTTGATTTGTTTGTTTTTCTTCATTTTTTTTTCTTTTTTCTTTTTGCTTTGCTTTGGTTCATAACAGACACACATTTATGTATTTAGTTGGGACTTAATTTGTTTTGTGGTAGCTGTAGTAGGTATTTGATATTTCGATATCATTAAATTGTAGTTTACATACAAGTATTTTCGTGTATCGCTTAACATTTACATTTTCTCATCAGCTAGGAATCTGCTTCACTGTGTAAATATGTATGTTTGTGTGCTTGTTTGTATCTTTAAAATGCAACGCTCCAAACATTTCGGCGGTAAAGAGTTGATTTTTCATTAGTTGTGTTGGCTGCAAGTTTTCACTCTAAAAATGCAACAACATTTAAACTTGTCTGTGTGTGTGCGTGTGTGTGTGTATTTGTGTACAAATACTAGTGTATATAAATATCTCTGCCATAAAGTGCAAATCATAAATAAAACAATCCAAAATACATGGTAGAATTTTCTATTTATATCTGTTGCTCGTATATAGCATATAACATACATATGTCTGTTTGTAGGAGGGCTCTTTGTAAGTTTTTGTTCCTTTTCGTTTTTGTAGTTGTTGTAGTTTTTGTTTCTTTTTTTGATTTGCATTTGGCCTGTTTCAGTATCAGCATATTATATATGTATGTGTGTAAATGTTTGTGTTTTCATTTAGTCGTAAATGCTGTTGGTCTCTGGCTGCCTTCCATTGCAACTTGTTTTCCAGTTTTCTTGATAATTGCATTTATTCTTTTGGCCAGTTGGTTGTTGAATGCAAGAGTGTGCATTTCCTTTTCTTTTTTTTGTTTTTTTTGAATAATTTAAATCTCTTTCTGCAAGTTTGCAGCATTTTCATTTCATTTTTCTTTGCAATCATTAGTTTGGTAGTTAGTCTAGTGCTCATTATGCTTAAAGTTACATACTTTTTGTTTATTTAGGTCTGTGTCTTCTTCACTTGATATAGAAACTGATCATAGGTACATATTACATCAACACAATACTTGGTTATCTTATCTTTATATGTTGACGGCTTTGACATTAATTAAATTATTTATTTTTATTGTAGCATGGAAGAATTTGAATTCGAGTAGAATGGAATGGCAACTGTTGCAATAAAGAAGTATCGCCTTTGATAATAAATGTTGTAAATGTTGTTGCACAAATTGTAATGAAAGCTGATTTAGTCGATTCGGTGTAAGGATTAAAACTGTTAGCTCGGTAAATAGTTAAATTTTTCATTAAACTAATAGGCTGCCCCTTTCACAAGTTACACATTTCATTTTAACGTCTATTGTTAGAGGCGGTAAACGACAGAGCCGAACCGGGTAGGCTTAAGAATTTGATCATGGTAGAACATAAATGAGCAGTATGGACTATGAGCAAAAAACAGCCCATAATCACAAAATAGGCCAAGAAATAGAAAAAGAAGAAGCAGTAGCTAAAGGTGTTGATTATTTTCTGCAGATGCTGTAATTTTAACATTTTCTTTGTTTATTATATTAATCTTTCAAGCAGTCTTTAAAATGTATTCCCAAACAGTTAATTTCAAGTTCTGTTAGCTAAGAATTTCACAGCTGAAAAAAATATATACTCGTATATCAATATATTCCCTATCTAACTGCATTGAAAACTCTTTTTATAAAGCAGAATTTTTAAAGAGCCAATGAAAAATAGCATTGCTGTTTACAGCCCAGTAGAATAATTTTTTGTTAAATAAAATCAAACATATATATTTAATAAATTTCATTTAAAAATGTACCTCCAAAAGGTTTTAAAACAAAACAGGAAGGACTATTCTATGTATCAATAAAATTAAGAATATCTGCCAACCTCTTTGTTATTTCCGGCGCTCGTTGAATAATTTTAACTATTTACGAGCCAACCAGAGCGTCCTATTTGAATTTGTTGGAACTCTATTATGGAGTTGATTTTCAGAAACCGATGCTTGAACTTAATAATTAAATAGAAATTAGGGTCAAACGGCGTTGTTTGCACTTCGATGTTTTTACTTTTCGACCAATATCATATATAGAAGAGAATATTGATCTGTTCGTCTCTCAAAATTTCTGGTCTTTGTCGATGTTTTGGCGATTGAAACCCTAATGGAAAGCTAAACTAAACCTTGAATTGTAAATTGTGGAAGCTGTGTACATACTTGTACAAGTAGAAGAGGTCAAGATGAATCAGCCGTGTAATAATTATGCTTATTAGCTAAGTACGATTATGCACTTTCATAATTTATTTCTTTATATATGTATGTATAGGTATGTGTATTTTATATTTAATTACTAGTCATAGGTATGTAGTATATTGTATATGCATAATACTCATAGCTTTAAAATTAGTTTTAATTAAGCTTTTTTCCACATTCTCTCATTATGTGTAAATATTAAAAATAGTTGTAATTTGACTCGTTATTTTTCCGTGTTAGTTGTTTGTTCATTAATTAGTTGCAACAATGCACGCCGATAGGTATGTATGTATAAAAAGTTACTACAGTTTACAGTTAGAGTTAACAATTTCTCATTATACTTATAGCAGTTGGGGTGTATATAGTATATATTTATGTATATAATATAGACCATTGTATATAGTACAAAATTTACAGAAGAAGCAACAAGGCTTCTGAAACTAAAACTAATAATAGGAGACAAAAAAAGAAGGGGGAAATGTACAGTTCAATAAAATATTCGAGTGGGAAAAAGGTTGGATTTAAAAAGCTTCAAACCTGTATATAAAAAGCATTCAGCTGAAGGCTACTTTGGAAGTCAGTGTACACAGTGACATACATACATATAAGGTAGTTTGTGTGTGTGTGTGTGTTTGTGTAAGTATTTGTTTGTTTGTATAGTATAGCTTGTGTTTATAAATTCATAAAAAATGTGCGCTCAGAAAATAGTTACAAATACATATGTAAGTATGTTAGTATGTAGTAATATTTTAAGCCTTAGTTACACTGTTATTTGGGCTTTATAAAAATCTCATATATGTACATGCATATATATGTACATATATATATGCAATATGATAAATGTGTCCGTGTATGTGTGTATTGTGCAAATGTTTTTAAAGAAGCTCGGAGTTACACAATTTTTGATTGTTTCTTGTCTTGGGCGCAGCGAGTTTTATAGTTATTTTATGATTTATATATTCTTCACACACTAAATTGACCCAAAAAGTGTAGATATTAGAATGGATTAAGAATAGTGTTTAAGTCTTGCTGTATTTCTTAAAGATTTGTGCTTCATATTTGTTTTGTTTTTCGTGTTTTTTTCAGCAATGCTACGCTTACGCTTTCCCTAAATTTTGGTGAGTGTTCGATTATGTGTGGGTTTCTAAATGTAGCAACAAAAAACGAGTCTAGAATTAGGGGAATAACCTAGTGCAGTGTTACAGTTTGTTTTTAAGCACAAACTCTGCCTTACATTGTTACCTTTGCACCATTGGAATGTCGTTTTCTAGCATTTACAAACAGAGAAGTTTTTTCTGTTACACAACTACTTACTTATTTATTTATGTGTGCTATGCCAATTCTTAATTTATACAGCTGTGGGTTTCAAAAACACATTTAGTTTTCTTTATAATTATGATTATTTGTTTTTTGTCTGTTTGTTGTTACGTAGCTTTAAGTGGAAAACAAAATTGTTGTTAAGCAGCGATCATCTCTTCTTTTAATTTGCAATTTCATTGCATGCTGAAATTCGTTTTACAAACATTTCTAATACATAGCTCTCCTCAAAACTTACGTTCCCATCGGGCACTTAGAATCAGTTGATGAATCGCGCCTTCTGTTTGCGTACAAAGTCCTGCGCCTGTTTGTCATTGATGCGCAGCTCAAGTATCTGCAATATGGGATTGCCTGAGGTGAGGAAGAAAAATGGAAAAAAAGAGAAGAGAAAGTTAGAAATAGCGGAGACCCTCGCCCACTCACATGGCCATTGGCACATGGGAAATGTATATGGGAAGTTAGAAAACAACTGTGCACTCACATTTATCCTTTTGCTGCATAAGCGGCAATTCGATTTGCTTCAGACCATGAAAGTTGTCCACACTGGTGCTGTAGTCGGCCACCCCTGGTATATTGCCTAGAGCCAAGTAGGCTTCGCCCCCAAAATCGTTGGCCGTCAACACATCGTGATCCATGACCGTAAAACAAATCATGGCGCCCTCAGTCAGACATTGCTCCAAAGTGACCGAGAACTCAAAACATTCGTCAAATATGGGATTTAAGGTGCGCTGTAATTGAAAAAAAGTAGACCAATAGATAGAAGGTATATAAAAAATCGATTTCCATATCTATCTTCTGATGTTTTTAATAGGATACCTTATTGTTACTTATTGTTAGTTTACTCTACACACCCTACACCAATATGCTCTATTATATTTCTTAGAAGATGAAGTGTAGTGTGAAGACAAATGCTTTTTAAAGATTTATCAGTTCGCTATAGGTCGCAGCTAATTACATTAGAACAAGGTGTGTTGAAATAAGAATTAGTATGTAGAAAAAAGTTACGTTTATCTTGAAATTTGGATAAACACGCCTAACTCTTTCTTTTGGGGATCCTCATGTTTACATCCCAAGGTCCAACCCAACCACAATATAGATACATTTATTCAAAATTTAGATAAAGTTGTCGGGTCGTGTCGTGTTTTTCGCTCACCTTGTGCACATTCGTCTGCTGTTCCATGCAGTGCATGAAGATGCGTCGCGGCAGCAACTCAATGACCACAAATGGATCACTGAACCCATTCGGGTCGAGCGGTACGACATCACGCGCATGCAGAACCTCGACGCACAGCGAATCATGATTGAAGTAAGCGCGTACGGCCAGAGAACCGTATGGTCCGGGACTAACAGCCACCAGTTGTTCACGCAACCGATTCATATAGAACATATCGATGAGTCGATCCGTTTCCGTTTTGTGGAATTGCAGACGTTGCTCGATGCGCCAAAAGTCCTCAGTGTGGAGGCATTCCAGAAGCAGACCCTGACCCTCGGCATGGAAGAAGTCGACGAGTAGCTGAAGCGCTTCGTATAGCCGTTTATGGAAATGGGTGGGCTTGTCCGTTTCATCGCCAGTTTCCATTTGGCGCGACATCTCGCCCAGCACCGTTTTCCAGATGAAGCGCAGCGAGCGATTGAAGTTTTTGGTGAGCAGAGCGCTATTTAACGCGGCCAGATGGCAATCCAAGTACTCGAGGAGTGGCACAATGGCCTGATTTGCGGGAAGTGAGTCTGGGGACCAGGCCAAATGGAACACTGCCTTCTGCAGCGACATTTGCATGAGTGGTGCCAGCTTGGACAGGATGCGCTCACAGCGATTCTCCATGTGCGTCAAACTGGACTCCAGTAAATTGTCTGCTGACTCCTCGAGCGGCTGTTCGTCCGAGCGAAACTCGGCTAGAGTGCGACGCACATACTCCACATTGTTTACGGTCACACACATGTCGTCGGAGCATCGAAAAGGACCCTGCTGTTCATAATAGCCGCTGTCCGCCAATGCTGTGTGTATGAGATCGCAATAATGCATGGCTGCCGAGCAGACGACATCGATTAGCTGTGACTCCAGCATGATGGCCGTATCCTCATCCGGCCAATTGATGACCTTCCAGAACTCCTTGATATTGAGCAGCGTCGAGGCCGTGTCTACGGAGGAACTACTGTAGCGCACAATGCGCTCACCCTCGCAAATCGCGTCCATGCGTATGGCGGCGCGTATACGCTGCAATGCCTTCGCTTTGCTCATCATCATCCATCGCTCGAAGGTGGGTATAAACCATTCGTGGCTGTTCGAAAGTGCCAGCGGCTTCTCCGGCGGCTGTGGCTGTGCGGATAGATGACGTTTCAGTTGGCAAAACTCCTGCAGCGCCAAAAACAATTCGAACGGCTTCGTATCAATCGGCTCGGCCTCACCCTCGAGTACGGCATACTGAGCCAAGCTCATCCGTACACCCGGCACCTGCCCGGCGGCCATGCGTGTGTAGACCTCGTCACCGACCATTGCATCGTACTGTTTGTAGATGATGCTGAAATACTGTATGCCATTCGTGCTGTGAAGGACGACAGAGAGAAAAAGAGATGGAGATGAAATAAACAAACATTTATTCAACTTGTATAGCTGAGTCTGTTGTCTGTTGGTCCATCTAGGGCGATTGTAAATAAGGGAAACAATGAGCTTCATTAGTGAAGCTCCAAAGTTGAAAACAATCCCATCGTATGTCTCATTTCGACACGCAGGCCCTTCATGATGTTGAACTCAGTTCAGATATATCGGGGTCACCAAAACCTCTTAATGTTCTTTGGGGTACTCAAATCAAGTTCCATTTTTTTTCGAAAAACTTAACGTTCTTACATCTGCTCCTGCAGCATATATTTAAATCGGCAATAAGGCTACCAAAACTATCTTACTAATATACCAATACATACAATCAAACACTTTAAGATATGCCATAAGAGATGGAAAACTTTAATGCTTCGATATAAGCTGTGTCTAACAGTATGCCTGAATATGCTGAAGTCAAATAAATATAAACGGGAATTTATTTTTGGATAACCCAAGACATAGTTGTGAGGCGCTTACTTTATTGTTGACACACCCCAGATGACTTTCACTTTTGGGCACTCACTGAAATAAATCGTTGTCAAGCTGCTTACGGTAGCTCACTAAGCTGAAAATCGATGCCAACAGTCCGTCTGTGTCCCTTCTTATCATTGTAGCTTTGTATTGAAACCCTCAACTCTGCACTACCCTGACTTTAAACTACACAAATGCCGCAATTAGCTTGGGATTTCTTCAACTAAATTTGCTAATGCCCTTGGCTTGTCTCTCCACACCACTTTCGCTGACAGCAATGCCAATAGCGGCTTCTATAATGACAGCTATGGACATTTGTTAAATGCTCCATAAAGAAGTAGGTGTTTGTATGTGTGTGTGGGCTCAACTGACTGAATGGTACGTGCGAACATTTTTATGACAGCGCAATTAATTTGAGGCTTATGTGTGTAAGCCACTTTATGTCTATTTGGCTGCATGTGTGTGTGTGTGTGTGCGGGAGGGCCATTTGTGAGCCTAATTCTTCGACTAACTAGCAAATATGTGACTGATTACTGGCCCATTTTGATGTCCCAAATTACATTTCATGCGAGATCACTTTGAAAACAAAGTGGTGCTAGTTTCAATTCAATTCAAATGTCCATGAACACAAGCTCTAATGGTCACCGAACGTCCCTATTCAGGTGGACACATGGCCGGAGACGTGCCAAGTGTCTCAACTGGCTGACTGACGAGGTCTGCCCGTGACTGCATCAAAATCGAGAGCAATACTTGTTTTGTTAAAAAGCTTGTAAATTTTATTTGCTCAGGCCACTATGGCAGATTTCAAACTGTGTGTGTGTGTGTGTGTGTGTGTGTGTGTGTAGCGCCCGACAACCTTGAGGGCGAAGCAAGTATTTTATATCTGCCACGTGCCTGACATAGTTAATTCAATTTTCAACACTCAACAAAGGTAGCAACGTGGCTGCAACTACAATAAGTGGCGTCGCCTGTCGCAGCAGCCATGAGAGTCATGGGGAAACAGCAAGGTTGAAGTGTTTCGAGCACCTGTCGGTCAACAATTCAAGCGTGTCTCTCTACTCCTACTCATTGTATATGCGACTGCGACTAGTCCTTCCTTCTACTTACTTGTCGAATAGCGAATGATAGTAGGTCTGACCCAGTTGAATGTCAGCCGTTAATGTTGTTACGAAATTCGACAATGGATTCGGCAAACACTGCGATTCGCGCAACACATTCTGGCCCCACATCACCGATCCTTTGCGAAGTGCATTCACCACCTCGCCGCGCACGCCCTTGTTGAAGGGGCAGACAGCACGAAAGGCTCGCATGGAGCCCAACAGACCCAGACAGCGCAGCAGGAACTCCAGTCGTATGAGGGAGGGCGGATTTAGGGCGGGAAAAATGTCGCGATGGCGACGTATTTGATTGAGCGAACGTTCCACAAAACCATTCATGGCCTCGGCCAGCCATTGCTCCAAGTCGCGGGTGAGAGCCTCCTGATTTGGTTGATTCCATTGTTTTTCCACATCGCTGAGCAGACGATGCAGAAACTTTGGATCCAGTGGAGTGCTGCGATTTAGCTTGGCTGCCGCCACATACCTACAAAACAGCGTAGATAGTGATTAGGCATTAGTCATTATAATTAATGGAAACAACTACTAATGTAGAAATGTCAAACGAAATATTTCAATAATTTATTCATGCATTATAGAAACAGAACAGTTGTACGCCCCGCTGCATAGATGTCTGGCATGTAGACTTCTGACAGGTTGACAACTGACGTGGAAACATCTGACGGTTTGATATCTGACATGTTGTGTAGGTAGTAAGGTAGTTAGTTGAATTTGGAATATACTCGTACATGTATATATTTAACCTATAAAAGAAAAACGAACATTTTGGAAAAGTGCCGATTTATGTAGTATCTGAAGGGATCTCCTTTTTTCCTTGCTGCCAATTTAATAAACCTTTTAAAAGAGGATTGAATCGGCTGATTTCGATGCTGGGATTACTCTTTAACATTTCTTAACTATTTCCAAATCGATTTGAAAAAGAAATATTGGAAAATTGATAAAGATAAAGAACTCACCTGGCCATGGCACAATGGAGGTCCGAGAGATCCGCCTGCACGGCCAACTGATGTAGAATTGTTAGCGCCGGACCTGGCAAATCGCCACACCACGTCCATGAGGGCTCATGGGTGGTCACCTCGTGCTGCATGAACACCATTTGCAGCTGCTCGATTTTTCGCACCTGCTGCTCGGTGTTCTCTTCAGCGGCACCGCGATCCTCACGCGTCGATAGCCACATTTTGAGACGAATGCGGCCCTGTACGGTGCTGCGTTGACTGCGCGCCTCCAACTTGAACCAGGCATCGAGACCCGTTGACGGTATGTCGGAGAGGGGAATGTTCACCGAACCGAGAAAATCATCCTGGGAGCCCTGTCGGGCAGACTGACAGACCTGCTTAAAGAAACGACCCAATCCACGCACGCCGCGCACCTCGTTCAGACGCGAGACGGCGTCCATCACACAGCTTTCGTCATCGTGGTCCCAAATGTCCAGGTGAAAGGTGTCCGTGTTGATGTCATCGATGTCACTGCGAAGGATACAGATTTTATTGCGTGTTTGTTCCGACGTGTGGCCCCCAAAAAGGGGGTGGTCGATTTTATTGCTCGGTGCTGGGCAGTCAATCAAATTAAAATCAAACTGTTGGCACTCCAGCTTGGGCGATTAGTTGTTATGTCTATTTTAGGCCCATTGCACAAATTTGGCTAATTAATTGAGCGTCTTCAACTAATTTCAGAATATAGGGCCTAGCCTTGCAATAAAAGTTAACTTAGAACCATTGCTTAAAAAATAAATAACAATATAGAAATACTCGTACAATTAATCCACCAAAATGTGTTCCAACACATTTTTTTGTTGTTTCTATTCCTAAATTGGTTTTCGGCTCGTGACTATTTGCAATGTTGACTTTTTAGTAATTTGCAATTCAATATTTTGTGTATTTGCGAAAATATTTGTCCAGCTTGTAGTCTTCTCCTCATTCGGCATAAATTTGGCCGAAGGCCTGTTTTCAATCTCCAATGGCCATACGCCGGTTGTCAGGCTATTTGTTTTATGAATTTACATTCGTATGCTCGTATTTATGAGCTGTCAATAAAGACGACATATTGTTTTTATTGCAATTGCAACATAAATTTGTTTTCATTTATTACTGCAAAATATTTGCGAAAGCAATCTTTGTCTGTTTGTTTGAGCGTTTGAATAGACCACAGGAAAGGGGGACACGCGTGCTGCAGGATTTTTATTGCGCAATTAAAATTTATTTCGTGTATTTTGCTTGCAAGTAGAACTCATAAATTATCTGCTCGGTGCTTGGTTGGATTTATGCAACAACATAAAATTTCAAAAACACAAGCAATTAGGCCACATTGTGGCATATTTTAGCTTTAAATTTCCTTTCTCGCACATGCCGGAAGTCATAATTCAAGGTAGGAAAGCAACTGCATGAGAATTAGAGTTTAATGCAGAGTGAAATATATTAGACTAGCTTCATATATTTAATATTTTTTTAAAGTATATGTGTCAGTCTGTAGTTCAAACGCTAAGGCAACATTTTCGTAAATTTCATGCACATGTCGCATCAATTGCTTGGCGCACGTGGCGTATGCGTAACAATATTTTTGTAGTCTGAGCACGCTTTCACAGCTCATTTGCTGCAGCAGAGACAGCATCCATTCCCTTCCGCCACCCCTCTCATACGGCTCATTTGATATCGTTACGTTTTTGTTACAGAAAAAAACTCCAACTAAATGGTAGCTGGCAAAAAATGTCAACGCGTTGTTGTGTGCGCAAAAAAATATTTTATTTAAATTAAAATAGGACAAGAGTCGTAGTAGCAGCTGCTGCCATCATCCCCTAGTGCCACTCCTCAGACATTTGGACACACGTAATTGCATAATTTGTCGCAAATCTCCATTTAAGGCCGTCAATTGGGCAAACAATTGAGCGTGATTGAATTTAAATGCTTCACGCAAATGTGTCGATTATCACAAAATGGCGTCAGGCTGTCTTTGGCTCTCTCTGTCTATATGTCTGTCTGTCTGTCTGTCTGCCTGGCTGGCCGTTTGCCTGTCTGTCTATACTTACAATTTGAATTTCTCGTTCCACTTTGGACTCAGTGTGTGCGGCTTAATGGTCGTTGCTTTGATCAGCTTGGCGGGCACAGGACCACCCAACGAGTCACGTTGCTCACGACGTCCCGCCTCACGTCTTTTGAAGCTCAAGCGAAAGCTGTGCTTACGATGCGGCGGCGAGTCGGTCACACTGTTGTCGAAGCCGCTCATATCTGCGGAAAGCGCCCGAGGCGTCGGGGGCAGCGGCAATGGCGATACTGGTGGCCCACCATCCGGCTGTATGCCCAGCATGCAGTAGGGATCCGAAAATCCTGTGTAAAATATGCATTTTTAATAGGACTCAATGGCAAATGACACTTGCGAGTGAAAGACGTGATGGGTACAACATTAAATGGCAATTAATTGCATCATTATGGCAGTTGGTCACACGTGGCGTATGATTAATATTTCATTAGCCAACGCTTGTGGCATGTATGACTGCATATGTGTGTGGGTGTGTGAGTGTGTGTGTATGTGTGGCTCCCAATGCAAAGTGGATAAATGAGTAATGCTGTGGAACAGGTGTGAGCGTGGATACGTTTGCGCGTAAGTGCTCGATGTTGAATTATTAAATTATAAACTTAATAATTCCACGCGCGAAGCACTTATATTTTAACATTGTGTATCTACACTGGGACTTTCCCATCCTTAACTGATTTTATGGTTATACGAAATTGTCTAGTTCTCCTCATCCACTAGCCTCAAATTTTGCTTTATATGTGGCTTGCCAATGCTACAGATATATTTGTAAGATCAATCAACATGTACATGCATGTTGAATATATTTTTGGCTTCTTATTCTTAAAACTAACTTGTAAAGTTTTGATTAGCGTGGGGCATGCAACATTCTTTTTTCTTATCAATATAGGTATCTGCATATTGTAACTTACATGTTGCAGTCGAAACCCCATCTTAAAACTTTCTTTACTTCCATCACTGTATTTAATAAAATTTTGTCTGATTAAAGTGTATTATGACAGACACTAACCTGACCTAGACCAATGGGAATTAGCTCAACTATGTCGTCAAAAATCCACATCTAAGTTGAAGTACCTTTTTATTACTTTAGTACATATACTAACCAAAATAATTTAGCTACAACAAATACTCAGCTATACTCGGAAAATGTCACCAATTTAAGAAATCATTGCTGTTGAGAATCTGTGTCGTGACTGTTGAAGTCCGCCATTAGGCCTCTAAGTAAGATTTTAAACTTTATTTTACTCAGAAATTGTTAAAAAATATTATTTAAAAATGATATTTGTTGTTTCAAATGGTAAAAATAACTGGAAATATTACTTGTGATTTATTTGCATGAAAAGTGTTCATTTTCTTTTTCTGCCATCATAGTTTTTCTTCGTGTAAAGCTGAACTCATAAAGAAGTGGCATTTTTGCCAAGTTTTCGCCACAAACAGATGTTTGTGGGCGCATGAATGCTAACTGCTCGCTAAGTGCCCATCAGCTGGCGATAATGAGGGCCAAGTGACTCTAGGCCCGTTGCTGCAGCTGCAGAACAAAAGCTTTCCATTTATCTGCATCCGATTGCCAATTCATTACACACACTTTCACATGCACACGCACACACGCACACACAGTCGCACTTGTAAGTGCACACAAAAGTTAAATATGCAACGAGTTTCAAGTGCTTGCTAGCTGTTCTCAGATAGACATACAGAGAGCAGTACATTTTTCACAGACAACAGGCAATGCCTCTATATAGTAGCACTCAACGTATTCCTTACACATCCTTGAGCACATTAAAATGCGAAATTGCGTTGGTGCTGCTGCTGCTGCCGCTGTTTCTTGAGATTCTCGAGCATAATGAACAAAATGGGGAGCATTAAATTGCAAATTTATTGAACGAGCAGCAGCACCAGCACCACCAGAAGAAGAAGAAGAAGCAGAAGAAGCAGAAACGGCAACAGCCTGGCATGTTGGCGAGTTGGTCTCAACAGTTTTAGGCATGTGACTGCGACAAGTTGTGTGCACACAACAACAAACTGAACACAAACACACACGTTTGTATAAATTGAAAATACACACACACACACGCCCATATGTTGGTTGTATTGATGCGACGCTTTATTGATACTTCATTTGACTTTTTGATTGGGCAGAATGTTCAAATATTGAGTATGTTACCCTGTGCCCTGCCTCATATAGGAACTTTAGAGAGTATATAGTATACACGTATATAATATTTTGACGAGTGCTGTCATCATTTTGATAACGCAATTACCGCTAAAATTTCCAACGTTGCTTGCCACAAATTGATTTTTTACTTAAAGTAGCTGCAAAGTTTTGCAACCTTCACTTCAGGAAGTTTAAACTTGTCTTAAGAGAGTCCTGGTCTTGATTTCAAACATGTCATTTTGAATGAAACTAATTCAGAATTAATCAACAGAATTAAACCAATTTGCGATCAATAATATGTCTATAATCAGATTTGCAAAGTTTTATGTACTCCTATGTGGTTCTGTCTCATTGTGCACATTTCTGCTTTTTATCGGTTTTTAAAGGGCTTCAATAAACCTAGACGTTTTGAAAACCCAGGCGTTTATTTTTAATATATAAACTCAGTAAAAAATATTAGAAATGAAGATAGTTATACTTAAGTTTTTGTTGTTATTTTCGTTATTTTTTTTCAAACTCTTAATGGAATACATTATTGACGCTAATGAATGATTTATTAATAAATGAACACATAATTATTTCAAAACATTTAAAAAATTTCAACAATTAAAAAAAAAATTAATTCATGTTAAAATTCTTTATTCAAAAATAATGAAGCAAATTGACAAATGTGCAGAGAATTTAATAAATTAGGGAAATCAAAATCATGAAGAAAATGGATGAAGGATGAAAAAGTGGAATTCCTTAAAAACGAAATGAGCAAATGATGTGTTGTGCAATCCAATTTATTTATTTTTACTGAAATGATCAACTCGGATCTTTATAACTTTTAAAATTAAAACACTAATTTGTCAAATATTCTTTTATAGTAGTAGCTAGTAGTTCTGTATAATGGTAATAGTGTAGGAAACAAATGAGATTTTCTGTGACTCCTCCTTGGTGTTAGCAAACACAATACACCCCAATTGAATCTAAGCATAGCAGGGTCGAAAAAAAATTGAAATATATTATATAGTAAACTTTTCAACGCAGGCTTACCATTCGCATCCTTAGCTTCCAAACCATCTGCCTCGATGACGACCGCTGAGAGCACGATTATTTTCGGTTTATCCTCCGCCGAGGCATGCAACAGGCGATAATGACGATCCGGATTGACGCCAAAGGCGCGCTGTGCATGCAAATACATTTCGTCCTTGTAGTGTGTGAACTGTTGAGAATGTATGGGAATACATGAGCGCAAGCATTAGTATTAAGCTAGAACGCACGCACACTCTCATGTATATTAATATATATGTACATACATATGCATGTATTATGCAGCCAAATTGCGCATACGCCATGTGTGCTCGCTGGCACACGTGACGAGAACAACAACAACAAGAGCAACAGCAAGCACTCTAATAACAAAGCTGTTCAAGTCACGTAATTGAATTTAATTTAATTATTTCGTAATTTATTTACAAATATGTACAAATATTTTTGTCTATACGAGCTTGTCCTGTAATATCATAAAAAAATTAACATATTTCAATAGGCGCAGGAAAAAAAAATACGACGAAAATGTTTGTTATAGCCCCAACGAACACCGTTTTGGTTTTTATTTTTAGTACATTGCCCCAAAAAGTTTTTGTTGCCGTTGTTGTTGTGATGCTATTTCTTTTTTATTGATTTATCTTGTCGAATATTCCAGCTTGCTGACTCTTGATTTCCTATTCGCTTACGCTCACGCCTCATGGCGTGCTTTCATCGAAGAAAAACAAGTCATTTCATATCTTATCTTCTTTTCTTTTCATCGCCCAGTCTGCTTTTATACAATTTTTTGTACATTTCGGATGGGATATTATTTTAATTTGATTGCTTGCCTGCAGTCGCTAGGCAGCTATAGCCAAATTATCAAATAACAGCCACATGTTGTCCCTACCCTATGGCTATACCCGTGGCCCAGCAAGGCCACCCACCATGGCCTGCAAACTTCATAATGAGCACATGAATTTTCTATTAAGTCCAGCAGCGGTGAATATTAAATGTTCCCAGCCCATTTCCTTAATACGTTAATACTGTGCACTCACAACAGTCGGACCCTGTCTTTGCCCGAACGTTCGCTATTTTTAATAAATAATTGCCGCATGGCGCACAACTTTCCACTTTAATGCGTTATTTTTCTGCACTCCCTTTTGTTCTATCAATTTTTGTTGGCACATTATTATTCAACACTTGAAAGTTTATCACAAAATAATTTATGCGCCATGATTGGTCGAGGGAATGACGCTTGATGCACAGCTCAATAGATGGAGAAAAACTTACGCATAACTTGAAATTATAAAGCCTACTAAAACTGAAAAGCCAAGTGAAGTTCTCTTCAAGGTGGAAAATACTGTATGAATATTTGATGAGACAAACTTTTTGCCGGACGTCTAATAAGTTTTTTCTAGCTTAATACATTTTGAAATGAATTATTTTACAATATTATACGAAAATCATAAAGTTTTTCTATAGAATTAATTATTTAAACAATGAGTATTTTTAAACAAGAAATTTGAGCCTAATGTTAACGACAGTATGGCATAAGAAAAGTATTTAATATTGATATGTATATGGAATAATATTTTTAAGCCTCTGGTTACTAAATAGTAAAGCTTTTTATTTTGCATTGTTAAACTAGAGCTAAATAATGTTTCCCAATTTATATGTTTATGTTTTTTTTTTCAAATCTTTATTTAAAATCTGTCCTATGTTAGACAATTATGTTTATGGTGTTACTAACATTGTTGCTTTATTTAAGGAATATCTTTGGACCTTTCTTCTCTGGACCTTTTCCAGTATAGTCAAATTTATTTCGTTCTTATCAAAATTAATATTTTTAACTATCCATTCGACATTCTGGTTCATGAATAGTTTTTATTAAATTAAGAATACTTTTCTCGACTTTACTAAAGATGTTCTAATAGCAGACAACTTAAACAACTCGGAAAAAATGTGGTGAAAAATAATTAATACCTATTTTCAAGTTTAATAATATTGAAAATCATGTATAGCATTAAAACAAACAGAATATGTTGACGAATTTGTTAAGACCATCAACCACAATTCCATACCTAAAGATATTTTTTTTGTAATAAACATAAACAATTTCGAATTTGTTTTTTTTTTTAATTATTTGCTTGTCTACATCACATTACTGAAAATCGAAGAGTTCGAACACAAAATTATTATTACTGTCACACCGCTTCCTCGCTCTCGCTGACCTTACTTTGAACGAATGAACAGTTTTATTTGTATACTCGTATCTTTTTAGTTAACAATCCGAAATTTCATGCTGCAATCGTACTCGTATTGTACACAGCTGCAATTATATAGTCGTCACATTTGTCGACATATTTCTTTCGCTTTTTTTGTCATTATATTTATTTTTCTTTTCAATTAATTTCCATTACACAAAAATTAAATGTCAGGCCATGTTGCAGAATGGAAAAAATGCAATATATAAAATAAGAAAAGCCGAAAGGGGCCATGCGCCCACATAATATTTATATGCAATTATTTTCCATTAAATGCAAAATGGCATGGCATTAACCATGCCCCATGGTCATGGGCTGACACGCTGAGCCTTCGGAGTCGCTCAGAGGTGCTCAGAGCCGCTCAGAGCAGAGCCAGCGGAAAATAACATCGGTGACTTGCTATACGCGCCTTTTAAGCTCCAGAGACTTGACCGGTTTCAACTCAATCACAGCGCCAGGACTAACGGTATTTTCTGTTTCTGCTGCTTCGCCATCTTCTTTCGGGCTGCTACACAGTGCCGCCATTGCTGGAACTTTTATTATGCGGGCGCATTGCCCCGCAACCTCTCCTTGGCCCTGCATGTCTACTGCCCTGCACTGAACGTCAACTCAAGTTTCATAAGCTGCGCGCTGGGCGTCTAGCAATTTTCTTAGTGTTAAATTAAAAACGATAATTGAAAAATGAACTTGTGTAAAATAGAGAGCGGGTGGAGGGGGGAGGGGGGGGGGTTGGCGTAAAGGCTGCAGGCGAAATATTGTTCTGCTCAGCAGTTGGAAAAGTATTGGAAAATTGTCGGCAAATGGCTATCAAATAAAATGAGAGGCACACAAACGAAACGAAACGAGATGAGATGAAATGAAAAGTATGTATAACACGCTTTTAATTGAATTTCTGCAACATCAAGTTCTGTCTGACTGTCGCGTCAGAGCCATGGGCCTAATTGGCTCTAACTACGGCTATCATACGAGAAGGAGGCAGCTGGTAGCAAAAACTACTACTGCTTCCTAAAACTAATTTCCGTCTTGAGGCGAGCTTAAGCATCTTAGCATTAATCATTTAAATGGGCAAGCATAAGCGTGAGCGATTAGATCAACAGAGGAGCAGCAACCCTTCAATCAACCACCCCTTCATTGAATTAATACCTTGGGTTCCTCTACACATGTTTAATTCGGTTTATTTCTCAAATAAGGCCGCAGATAAATTCCGAAGGCTGTGCCGCCTGCTCAGCTATTTGAAAACTATTTGCATAACTCGTTGCGGCAAAAGCCGCAATCAAAAATGTATATGCCACATTTATCAGGGCATTTGCTCGAGGGCGGCAAACTTAAGCCCAGCATTTCCCATAAACTTGTTAATATTGATTTATTTTGTTAGCGAGAACTCAGCAGTCAGCACTCAGCGCTCAGCACTTACCTGTCCACCAGGCGCCGGTGCGCCCACAGTATTGGCGATTGTATGCAAAACCTCAACGTACAGCTTCTCCTTTTCGTCCTGTCGGTCGATGGTCTCCTCGGGAGCTGGCGGATCACGTTCGTTTTCCGGATTAGCCTCGGCACGTGCTTCGGCAGCACGCGTCGCTGACATGCGACGATTTTCACGTTTCCAGCCCAAGGATGTGAAACTCTCAAAATACGAGCCATCCGTTTCCTGAACGCTATACAACAAAATAGATGAGGGCACACAAGTTAGTCTGACGATGCATACACATAGCGCTAAAGTCGATTAAGTTTCCTTTGAATTTACACCGCGCTTTATGTTTGTATAGTATAAGTTATATTTTCAAAGAAAGTCGTTTTTTTTTGTTCCCATTGTGTTTTCATAACAAAGGAGTGATTCAAAAGGGTTTTGCATTTCGCCTTCAAGTTTGAATTCAAATGAAAAATAGATTCGGATACAACTTTGCTTGGCTTTTTTAAACAACCGTTTTTATACTTCTTTAATTAGTTACTAGATTGATGGCGGGATGATTTTATTTTCATTATGTATATTCTGAAGGTATTGATTTAATTGGTGCAGTAAATAACTGCCAAATAGGCTTTTAAAGCCATTCTCTTCATATGTCGCAAAGAAATTGGCAACCAACATGCTATTATTTAAAGAAATGCGAACAGAAAGAAGTCACCGATAAGTATAAGCTTACCCTAGTCGCTTATTAGTATTAATCTATTAATATGTTAGTCTACTAATTTTTAATGGACCGGTTTCAGCAAATTTTCCAAATTTTAGAATCTAAAACCACTTCCTAAATTTTTGCTTCAAAAAGTTAAACTTAAAGAACACATAATAAAAGCTTTCTTTCCCCTGACAAAACAAGATCAATTTTGTTGCCTAATAGAGTCTCACAATACTATAAAGACCTAAACAAACATTCATTTTAAAAAGTGATCTTCTCTATTTGGTGAAAATAGTTCCCTCGAACGTGAAAAACGTATTTCAGAATCTATTGGTAGTTAATAAAAATGTTTTATTATCCGATGTATATACATATATAAAAGATATATTGATGCAGTTGTCTAATCAAGAAATATAATAATATGGTATGTTCGCATTTTTGAAATTTTCTTTGAAGCCAATGGAGTTTTTCTATCACAATGGAAGTGAAAACCAAATTTTCATTTAAATTGAAAAGCAAATAAGTGACATTTCAAACATCTAAAGTCCTTAAAATATAATTGAAATGTGAATGTGCAAGTGAATACGTCAAATGGCAAGCGATCTTGACAAATTTAAAGGTTAATTAGTACAACTACGTCACAGCCCACGGAAGGAAAGGTACAAATTGTCAATTTAAAGGAAACTGGCATTTGATTTTCCACCTCCACATTACCTTTTTTTCTCATAGTGTAGATACAAAAGAACAGGAATGTATATTTATATGAACACCAGATACTCCTTTTGTGTGTGTGGGTGCGTTTATAGCAAACATTTTTGTTAAATTTATGCACTTAATATTGAGCTCAATATTATTCAAATTGGCTGGCTGTTGCCGTCAATATGTCAGCTTTATGCACGGTCAATGCATCTAATTCGCACTGTCAATATGTCGAGGCATATGGTAGCTAAAAAAGAGAGGGTGATTGGCGGAGCGGAAGAGCAACTAACGGACGGCTGGCCCCCTAAAATATTCCATTTCATGGCAAGTTGTCGTACCTATTTCAACATTGATAAGGGTTAATATACATACTACGCCTGTGTGCGTGTGTGCGTGTGTGGCGTGAGTATGTGTGTGTATGTGTTGGCTAATTGTCTACAAATATTCGTTGGCGCATATTTTCTATTGAATTTGATGCTCGAATGCGTTTAGCATATTTCATATAAATCATACGCCGTGTTGTACGCCTAGCTCTTTTTATACCCTGTACCCAAAGGGTACAAGGGTATATTAGTTTTGTGCGAGTGCACATGGAACACACAGAAGGAGGCTTGGTAGACCCCACAAAGTATATATATTCTTGATCAGCATGACAAGCCGAGTCGATATAGCCATGTCCGTCTGTCCGTCTGTCCGTCTGTCTGTCCGTCTGTCTGTCCGTCTGTCTGTCTGTATGAACGCAAGGATCTCCGAAAGTATAAGAGCTAGAATAACCAAACTTGGTATACAGATTCTCCTGAGACCGAGAAAGGACGAGTTTGTTCATTTTTTCTGATCCACCCCCCCACTCCCCCCCTATTAACGATTTTCTATAACTCCCGTAATTCTTGGAATTTTGAACTAAAATTTGGTAGTCACATTAGGTTAGTAATTATATATCCGTATGCCAAGTTTCATTATGAAAGAATGATCGGAAAGAAAGTTATAGCCATATAACCAGGCCCAATGCACACATACATACATATGAACAAGTACACAAACACGCATAAGGCACGATTCTGATGTAAATGTAAATGTATGTATGCATGCATGAAATATTTTATATTTAATTTAGTTAATTAATTAAATTAATTTAGTTAAATAATTAAATTAAATTAATTAATTAATTTAATTAAATTAATTTAATTACTTTTTTGTGGGGTGGTACAGGGTATTTAAGAGTTGAGCCTGCTCGACTTTAGCATTCCTTTCTTGTTTTTACCTGAATCTTCTGTGTGTTTGAGTGTGTGTGTGTTGAGCAAATTTGTATCACTTAAGGGCTGAAGTCATGCGCACGAAAAGGTAGACAGCTTGTCTAAATTAAGGCAGCCGTAAAATATGATGATACGGCAGAGCTGGTTAGGGGTCTAATCATTTTATTTGCATCGCCCGGTTTTTTTTCACACAGCTAGTGGAAAGAAGTAAATAGAAACACTTAGTACGCAGTACACTGACTGGCTGGTTGACTGGTTGGCTACTTTGTTAGCAGCTGTGGCAAAAAAGTTGTCCATTGGTCCAATGCTGTTAAACTTTGCACACTCAGCGCCGGCCAGAGCTAAGCGGCTTAACTTAGTCGTTAGATTTTTACGTTATGGGAAATAAACTGATGTGGTGGCTGAGGGGAAATATAAAAAATGTTGCCGCCAATTGTGAAAGAGATCGGTTGGCCGATGCAGGACTTGGCGGCACTTGTCTCGTACCATCGCGTATTGGAAGTTTCAAAAACAAGAGTTTGCCTTTGTTTAGCAAAAAAATTTCATTTTAAACTTTATTTTTTTGAGCGCAGATTTTTGCTTTGTCGCTCGCCGTTGAAACACATTGAATTGTAGCTCCTTTTTAAAAAATTTATTTACTTTTTTGTATTTGCTGTTGTATATATACAAGTATTTTTTTTCTGAGATATTGTTGTGTTGCAGACTAAAAGTTTGGCAACTTTTTTATCTGGGCGCTGGCAATGCCGACAACAAAAAATTACTTTACATTTAACTTGAAGGTAAAGATTTTTTGGCCGAACTTTGGCCGCGCTTTTGTGGTTAGTTGTTGTCCAACTTTGCTGTTGTTGTTGGCATTTTTTTCCGTATTCCTTTTGTTATGCATCAAAAAATTAACTTGCAGTTAATTTCTTGTCAAAAGTTGGCAAAAAAAAAAACAATTTATGGTAAATATTATTGCGCAATGAAAACTGAAATGTTTTTGGCATCGCATAATTAAATCAAGCTTCTTCTCAAATTGTCTGCATGGGCGTGTGTTTGTATGTGGGTGTGTGTGGTTTAATGCTAATGGCTGCATAATTCGTTCGTTATTATTTTTTTTTTGGATTATTTATTTTTGCGGTTGAACTAATTACAAACTTTGTGTGTCTCATTTGCTAATTATTTATGGAATCTGACATATAATTTGCGTTTTGGCTAAAATGATAAATAACAACTCTATAATTGCATTGAATGACAGACTGAATGCAAAAGTAAAAGCTATTCCATAAATGGAAACATTAAATGGAAACATAAACTAAAAATTATTTAAACTTTTGCTGTTGGTGAGATCAAACATAGGTATCTGGATATCTGTATTTACAACTAGAATGATGGATGTTCTTTTTCGATTAAATCACTAGTTAATCGTTGGTGAAATTGAAGTAGTAAGTTAATTGTTAATATAACTTTGAGATTAGGATTTATTATATAAAAAAACAAATAGACAAGGGAAGCCTCGAGCTTATTTGCAAAGTTTATACTTGATGTACTATCAGGGACAAATAAAATCGATTCTCTTGCTCTAAAATTTAATTAAATAATTATAATAAATTCAATATTATCATTCAATCATCTAAGGCTTATACTTAATATGTAAATATTAATATTTTCCATTGCTTGGCTGTTTCAAATAATTGGCAAGCATCAGTGAAGCAAATTTTAATAGAAGTTCAGTAATTGACCTTCTCTCCGTTTCTGATTTGATTTTGGTTTGATAACCTTTAGCTTTTAGATAAATTTGAATTATTAAAACAAGATAGAACGCTACAGTCGAGCAAGACTGACAGTAAAATAGCCTGTACTCTCCACAAAAAAGAAAAATTAAAAAAAAAATTAAATTATTAAAAAAAATTAATGAATTAATTAATTAAATTAAATTAGAATATATGTTTATGTTTAGTTTTAACAGCATACATTTACATCACGTACCTATGGGTGTTTATATGCGTGTATGTATGCAGCACAAAGTTGAACCAAAGCAGCAACAACAACAACAGCTGCGGGCAGCGCTGCCGACAGAGGCAGCGCATGAGCAGCGATTTTACTTATGGCTATAACTTTCTTCAGAATTTACCTATCATAATGAAATTTGGCACACGGACACATTAGTACTAACTGGATGTACCTACCAAAATTAATTTCAAAATTCCGAGAATTACGGAAGTTATAAGAAAAAACACGAATTGCGGGGGAGTGGGGGGTGCATCGAAAAAAAACTCAAACTCGTATTTTCTCGGTCTTAGGAGAATATGGAAACCAAGTTTGGTTATTCTAGCTCTTATACTTTCTGAGATCCTTGCGTTCATACGGACAGACGGACAGACAGACGGACAGACGGACGGACGGACAAGGCTATATCGACTCGTCTTCTCATCCTGATCAAGAATATATATACTTTGTGGGGTCTGCCACGCCTCCTTCTGTGTGTTACATACATGCGCACAAAACTAGTATAGCCTTTCACCCTTTGGGTACAGGCTATAACAAATGACCTTTTCCCTTGTCATAGCTATCAAAAACGTAGACTGAAACAAAAGTATGCTCTCGGATATTTGCTAGAGAAATTTTACGAAATCATTGTAATTCAAATGCTTGTAGCTGAAATTAAATTATTTACTGCAATGGAAGAGGTTTTACTTTTCCAAAAAGTAACGGAAACAGGACGCACAATTTTAATTGTGTATTCTAAAAGGAAAATGATTTTATTTATTTCATTTTATTAAAAAATATAGGCCGACGACATAGAAAATAAAATAAATTTTCAACATAAATTTAGATTTAACGAGCTAAGAACATAATATTTTTAAAATTCTCCCAAACAATTAGGTTGATGTTCAGATAGCACACAAAAGTAGTATTAGTTGTAGATTAAGCAGATTCAAGTCTAAATATAAGTTCATTTACTTAGTTTGTTTTGATTAATTTACTCAAAGTTTGACTTGTTCCCATGACTATGTAGTGTAATAATATTAAACTCTGTCTCGTGCCAATTGGAATTAAATAACAAATAAAATGTTTAAAAGAACTATGACAGGAATACAAAACGGAAAAGTTTCTTGTGACTAAAGATTGAGTAGATACTCATCGTTCTTCTTGACTGTGAAGAATAATGTAATTTATTTAGAGATATATCCTGGTGCTGAAATTGGTCGTATAACTTTTCTTTACCTGAAAAGAAATGCATATTTTGTAAAGATGAGCATGTACTCGAATATACATAAATGAAATTTTGGTGCCATACCTGGGGCGGTGCAGCGTTTAGTTTTTGGCGTTCAACATAATTTCAAGCCTTATTAAATGTGGTGCCCAAAAACCTGAAAATCCCATTAGGTGCACATTTTCACGTTAACTCAAAACGCAGGCCACATTATGCAAAGCAGACGCAGGCTGTGGAGCCAAAAGAGCTTCAGTATCTTGCAACACTGGCAACTGCAACACACGAGGCATGGCTGTCAGTCGCTTAGCGCATTAAAAGGCGCCAAAGCAGCTTTAAACAAGTTCAAGAACAAGTGCCTTGTACTTGGGTAAGATAAAGAGGGAAAAGTTTTCGACACCGAAAGGTTAGCAGGTCAGCACACACCCACGCATACACACACTCAGTCTTTCTCATTACCGCCTCTCTCTCGCTCTCCTTGTCTCTTTCGCTCTCGCACAGAGACCCGCATTACAGCTGCTGCCATGCCACTGTTGCATAGAGTTAGGCGCGTTCGGGGCAAGTTTCTTTTGAAATTTCAGCTTGTACGAAAAAACTTTTGTAATTATATAATTATGAAGGTCGCATGAAAAGTTTATACAAAAGTGAAAAACGTTGAGGCGACAACGACAACAACAACAACAACAGCAATAGTCTTGGAATATATGCGAGTACTTTGCTCAAGGGAGCGCCGCATTGAAAACAGATACTAATTGAAGTACAAGTATGTACAAGTATTCATTAATTAATTGGTAAATAATTCATTTTTCTTTGTTAGATGCCATTTTATTGTCGAACGGTCTGGTTCTCGCTTTAATCTCAGCCTGGGACAGACCCTCCATTTCCAAACTTTTCGACATATTATGTGTTTTCAATGTGTTGTTAATGCTAATGCCGCCCAATTCCACTATAAATGTGTATGCCAAAAAATGTTTGAATTTAATTCACGCTCTTCACATTTAAATGCTTCGGCTTGTGCGTGCTGCACATTAATGACCGACGGCAAGTGGTTAACACATTAACATGACTATCTTTGAGCTGGCAGTTAATTATAATGAGCAAACATCACTGCCAGGCAAACATTTAATTTCGAAATTCATTTGTGGCCGCTCGCACATCATCATTTATGCATTAAGGCTAAATACGTGGGTGAATGCCCATGTGAGTTAGTGCTGCGGTGCCAAGTCCTTCCAGCTTTACCTTCAGCTTAGTCACAATATTGTAATTTATAATTTGCCATATAAACATATTTATGTAGAACGTAAGCTAAAATTTGATTAAAAACAGCTCGTTTAGTAAAATAAATTCTCCTAAAAAAAAGAATACCAGCAAAGACCAAAACCTCGAGCTGTTTTTCTCTTCATTTACAAAAAACAATACATTCTTAATCGGAAAAGCTGTTTCCCAAATGCAATTTAGTTTAACTTTGTGAAATTGAATATTGTTTGTAATAAAAGGCTAATCAAATCTCAGTATGACAGGTTAACCAATAATAATTTTGCTCTAACATATATGTGTATACTAGTATATGTATATACACATTTTTAAATAAGCGATGAGGAAGGTTTTCATGGAATAAATCAATGAATAAATTGCTTCATTGCTTTTTTTTTATCAATAATAAAGTTTGCCAATTACAATTTGCAGTTTTGTTTCTTCGCTCAATCGATTGAATCGAATAATGTTCTGATTTTCACTTTTCAATTGGAAATATTATAAATGACTTGCAAACGAATGAAGTAAAATATTAGCAAAACGTGTAAATAGCAGATTCGGAAACTACCAAAAATTAAACGGGTTGTTTTTAAATCCGACTGCAAAGGCTTAAAATAAGCACTAACACTTATTTGTTATCTGAATACTCGTGTATCACATTTCACATTTCATTTCTGCATTTAAAGCGATTGTATCACATCATTGATTTAAGCCTTGAACTAATTCAAGGAAGGACTTCCATTGCAAGTGGCACGATTATTCTGATACCGATAATTCGCTATTTAAAACAGAACTCAATCATTACATACGAGTATATTCATTATAATTAGTTGTTTTACTTACCCCGAGTTGGAGCGCGGATCCACCTCCGGCCAGCTTAAGCGTCGCTTGCAAAATGCCAATGGTGGTCGTGGCGGCGGATCGGGCTGATGCAATGGCGAGTTGCGCTGTCGAAACGAACCGGTACGAGGAGGTGCCAAACACTCCAAGGCCCGTGATTGTCGCCGTGAGCCTATGGGTGTGCCGCCTGCCGAATTTGTAGTGCCCGGCGGCGGCACCACTTTTGGATAACCTGCAATCGTACAAACACGCATATGCAAATTAGTGCCATCATGAAGGAAGCACAAGCCCTGTTGCAATTATTGGAACGAACAGGAGGTGCCAACAACGGAAGTCAAGTCAATGAGTGTGGTCAGTGGGTGGAGACTGGCTTGGTGGGACGCTCAAGGCACTGCAACCACAACCTTGGCATGCATCTGTGCGGCTTTAGTCGCTTTTGTTGCTTCTGCTGCTGGCAGGCGGACAAGGACAGGCGGCAAGGATGAGGCCGTAAGACGTCAGACAGCCTTTAATGCAACACTGCTCCTATTTCCCATCGAGTGGCTGAGTGGGCTGTAGCTACACTGTCTCACCAGGCTTGCGGCTTTTGTGAATGTGTAGAGAGAGTAAAAAGGCTTTTTGTAAAGGCGCTTATGGCGCATTTGTACTTGTTTTACTTAGTTGCTGTTATTGTCGTTGGTAGTGGTTGCTCGAAGGGCGTCTAACGCTTTCCAAAAACCAAAAAAGAAAACAAAATTTGATTTCGGCTTGCTGGAGAATGCAGCCATAAACAAGGTTAGTTTAATGGAAATAATTCAAGCCAGTGCCTCATTTGTGGGATGCTAGGATATTTTGAACAGTGTTTGTTCTAGAAGATGAACCACTAATTATTATATCTTGTAGACTGTAGTAGTTTAATTATACAACTGTATGAAAAGAAAATATAAATTAGTCCTTAAAGTCGCTTCGGTTGAGCAATAATTCTATAATTATATTTATTAACTCTATTAATTATATTTCTAAATTTCTATAGGTGTGTAAAATGAAGTCTCGTGTGGAAAGCGCAGAGAGGGCCGGTATTTTGTATTAAATTGTAAAAATATGTTTATAACTTTAATCTTAATTTCCATTAAAAATTTGTTCGTATTTTATTGGGCAATTAAGCCCAGAAATAAATTATACTGTGCAATAAGATCATTTCTTCTTGAATTTAAACGAAGCATTTTACTCAATTATTTAATTTAATCTTGTCGGCTTATCCAAATATTCTGCCCTAAATTGTTATATAGTGGTAGAGAAAAGTCGATTTAATGTGGAAACATTTTCAAATTCATCCCGAATTAATACAAAACTATAGTAAAATTGAAAAAGCATCCAAAGCATTACTATCTGCTCGCCATTTTAAAATGCATTCTAATACAAATTATTTAAAATAGTGTTCAACAATTTTACAAGTATTTATTGGCATGGTAGACTTTATCTTTATTGTGTATGTGATGTTTATTTATTAAACTGCCCTGCTATGTCTGTATCTTTTATATAATATAAATATATGCATATTCACAAGCACACACACACACACATAGTTGTACATATTTGGCGTTTTTGTTGCGCGGCATCGTGGAAGCAGTGGCAAAAGGCAAACATGCAGCCCAAAAACCGCTCGTTCGTGGCTCGTGCAACAAGATAAGCCAATTTCAATTTCGATTCAAATGCTGCAGACGTAAGTAAATCAAAAGCTAAGGAAACGACTAGCATGCCGCATACCGCATACCACAGCTGCCTCTCGGATAGTTTCAGAGCACCTACACACACACCCACACTCCCGCTCACTCACATGCACACACATACACATGCACACGTACACACACCCCCAGCTACACCCACATATTCATCGGCTTGCGGGCAGCCGGCACAGCTGCTGTCTCTTGACTTTTAAAATGTGTTTGCATACGCCCAAGAACAGCAGCAACAAACGACAACAGCCAGAGCTACAAGCCAATACTTACATTTGCTCTCACAACGGGTCTTGCATTACCAACAAGTAGCTGCGTCACAAGCGTGGTGGGGCTGGTGGCGGAGCAGGGGCAGGAGCAGGAGCCGGAGGTGGAGACGGAGCCAAAGGGAGCAATACATCCATATATGTATGTATGCATGTTGATTGCAGATTCGCTCACGCATTTGTTTATGCATATCTCTAGTCGTTGGCACATTGCAAAATGGCGTTTGGCTTGCCACGCATTTGTGCTTCGAAAATGCTGTTTCCTTATTGGGATTTCAATTTTTATACCCTCTACTCAAAGGGTAAAGGGGCTTACCAAAATCGTACTGATGTAAGTAACACCTTAAAAAGGTCATGGTAGAATCCACCTAGTATACTTGTATACATTCCTGATCAGCCATTTGTCTGCTTATCTGGCTGCTTGTCCGTTCAACAGTCTAGGCTATAGTCACCAAGATTTGTAACGAAGCTTGCCTTTCATTGCAGCTCTACTTGTACACTCCTCTAAAAAGCTTTCTAAACATCCTTTGTAGCAAATATCATATACATTTCTTTTTCCAAATATGGGTAAAAGTTAGCATCATTCAACTTTGTATGAATCTTTAACACACTAAAACAATTTTCTGTTTTTGCGCCTGCCTATCTGAGCGCTAGAAATTGGTATTTTGATAAAAATGTTACATACAATTTTTGTTTTTGTACCCACGCTATGAGCAGTTCAAAATAGAACAATATATTTTCGGCGTTTCTGACTTAATCTAATCGCCAAGTATATGACGCTAAATTGCTAAATGTTGACAAAAAGCATCTCATTACTAATCCAAGAGCAGGCATGGATATAGTTTTTCTGAAAGCTCCTTTCTTTTCCGCCAAAAAGTTTTAATAATAGTTTCAGTAGCTCACAGAATCTGGTTATCAAAGTTATCTTATATTTGTTGCTACTTCAGTTCAGACTTTTAGGAATTTTTTAAAAGACTAGTGCAGAAATTTATAAATTCAAAATTTTTCTCTTGATCAAGACTTGTTTTGGAGACACAGAGCACCGACAAGTCGGATAGATGTGATTCAAGCATTCGGCATTTTTTACAGGATTTGCTTTTTCAACAGCTTTGGTGACAGGCTGCCAACACACATAGACACACACACACACACACACATACACAAGTTTGATGGCACGCAAATTCAATAAAGTTTTGTGCATGTTTTTTTTTGGAATGATTTCTGAGGTTTGCGAAGCAGCAGAACCACACATACTATAAATGAAGCCGATTTCAACATTGCTTGTTTTTGGTTTTTACAGTTAAGCTGATTTCATTTTAAAGCAAATATGCAAGCAAACGGGCATTGTATCTAAAGTGGTTTCTTATTTGCCTAACCACGAACTTGAACAACACGGCGAATGCGCAATATGGGACTGCATACTTAGGTAAATCAGCTAAAAACGACATTAACAACCCAGTCTGCATACGTTAGTTGATTCGGGAAGAGCTTAAGCTTTAAGACCCACAGTGATCAATAAATATTCATTTGTCTAAATCAGTTTTCTGCATAACTTTTCGAATAATGAATGCCATAAAAAATAAAATATAACAAGTAACTTTAAAAAGGATTTTTAAATTACTTCTTATTAATGTCTGCCACGTCTTTAACAAGTAGAAAAAGTAAAATAAAGGTGTTTAAAATCTTAAAGCAATGTTCAGTGAAGGTTTTTCAAATGTAAAGAAAACTTTTAAATCAAATACACTCTAATTTTCTATCTTTATAAAATGTCAATACTTTACGTGTAAAAAAATCTTTCTAAAACCACTTTAAGCATATCAATTATATAATCAATATATTTGGTATTTGTGTAAACGAAGCCCTTAGCGAAAGCTTCTTTAATTATCAATAGCTGATTTTATTACGTTTGCATTATTTCAGATAAAAAGCAACATCAGCCTCTTTTTGAAAAGTGTTAAATCCATTTGACTCATATTTATAAAACTTTTACGAAAAAGTATATTATTATAATACCCGGTTGAAAAGGTTATAGAGGCACAAACCTAAGAAGTGTTAAGTTTAAGGTGATGCCTTTAAGCTAAAAGAAATGAAAATTTTTTAGTTACCACCCCGATAATAAATAGTCAGTAATACGAAGCGCAAACGATTCTTTGAGATTCCATTTAAAGTGACCATTTAAATCATGTAATGCTTAAAGTATATATGAACAGGCTGAAAAATTGTGTCACTGATTTACGAGGGCCTTCTTACTGTATGTTAAAAAATGCAGCTTTTCGTTCGCAATCAGGAGCACAAATCTGGTCATCAGCACAAAATGCCAAAGGAAAGCAAAGTCTATACAAAGAAATATATACACGTGTCATTTGTTTGGCTGTCCAGTTGTCCAGTTGGCCTCGTTGGTGGCACCTTGGCCCATTTGTCAACGTAATGCGCATATAAGTATGACAAATTTAGCAAAGTAAACGAAAATAGAACTTACCCAGTAATGGATTTGTGGCGTTCGGATTGCCGATAACCACACCGCCAGCGGGGTAATTGCCACCGCCAGCTCCCGCACCGGAAGTGGCAGTGGGGGCGGCGGGGGCGCCATAAATGCCAGCACCACTGCCACCGCCAATTCCGCTGCCTATGCTCGCCTGTTGTTGTAGTGGTGCGTGTCCATGTTGTTGTTGCTGCAGGAGCTGTTGCTGTTGTTGCTGCTGCTGTGGTGTCAGCTGCTGCTGTTGCAAGCCAACGGATATGGTACCTGCAGCTGCGGCAGCGCCAAGTTGCTGCTGTTGTTGTTGCTGCTGTTGCTGCTCTGCCGATTCCTGGCGCGATAGCGAGAACCGTCGATTTCCCAGACCCAGACTGGATATGCCACTTGTTACATATTGTTGCATGGAACTGAGGAAACTCATGGCGGCATCTGGCGCTCAAAGCTTTTGCCTTTGCTATTGCTGCTGTTGTTCTTTTTGTTACTGTTGTCGGTTTTTGTTGTTGTTGTTAATGTTGGCGGCTTTTGTTGTTATCACGCAGCAGCGCGTAATTGGCTTAAGTTGTTGACGCCTGCCAGCCCCCCACTTGGCCTCGTTTTAGGCAACGAAATTAATCACTTGGAAACGTGGCAAAGCACAGTCGTCGTGCACCTCGACGTCGCAGACCCCTTTAGTCGAATGCTCGTTGAACACCCGGTATTTTGGTATTTTTGTAATTCTGGTATTTCGGCGGGCAAATGTCTTGCAATTAGAAGTCCGCTTCTGTGTCTGTCTCACTCTGCTTCAGTTCTGTAAGTAAAAATTAATTTGACATGGTAAGTTGTTTGCTTAGCGCTTTTCTCATTGCTGTTGTTGTTGTTGTTTTTTGTTATTTTTAGCATTAACAGGAGTTTTGCGTTCCCGCAGGCCCCCCAAGTGCCGCCCAATCGATGGCGTGCAGATTACCAGACACTGAGTATTTTGCCGCTAGCATTCCCATTGTTGCGCTCTAACTAAAAATAGCCATGGAATGTACAGATTAGAGGCAATTAGGTGCGCCATACGCATACGCACACACACGCACACCAACCATAATGATACCTGGCTTATGGCAATTTTCCGAGGCTAAACCATCCCAGGCACAGATGTACATGGAAACCACAAAAGCTTTCTAGCCACGGGAGTCCTGCATGCTTTAAAAGTAATTATTTTTTTCTTATGCCACGCTTCCGATTTAATTACTGCTGGTAGAAATAAGATATGTCAAGGGGCCATTAACTGATATCAGTTCATAATTCATTTTATGTGTTTCCTAAATTACGGCAAATAAAATGAAGTTGTTTATTAGTTATTGTTGAGAGAGAACTTTTCAATTAAGAACATAAACTGAAAAATACAACAATATTATGTTACTCAGAAAGCAACATCGCAATTGAAGCTAATAAACGTCCTTGTTTTATTTTATAACTGCCCTTTTCATGATATGAATCATTCAAACAACACTCCGTTCCCCTCATGCATAGCTCTGCTATTCGATTGTGTACACACTTTTCCATTTCCGCTGTTGGTTTGGTTTGCACGCTTGTCGTTTGTCTGTCGCTTTTGCAGCATACTTTTCAGCGCAGGAATAAATAGCTGTATTCTCTGGCTGGCATTTTTGGTGTTTGGGGAATTCCTGGGGAATTCAAGTACGCGCTGGTGTGTATTAGTGCACAAAAATAATTGCTTAAGCTTTTTTATACATTTCTTTGGGTTATACTTGTAGTTCGAGCTTGCTGTTGAATGTTTGCCTTCGATTGAGTTGCCGCAGCATTGTTGTCTCAACAAGTTTTGGCAGCCAATTGGAGTAAATAGTGCGGCAATGAATAGAAAAAAGAAAAGGTATTGCCAGGTAAGCTCTTATTTCATTTATCGATTGGCTCGCCATAAATCTTCGTTTGGGTCCCGATTAAAGCATTGTTATGCTGGTGCTTTGCTAATTAATTTTCCTTTTGAACTTGCAGCGCCTTTGTTTTTTTTTTTTGTACTTGCCAACAAGTTGGCATACATACACATGTGCGTGTGTGTGAGTCAAATTAGCGTTTAATCAGCAATCGGTCGAATGCACTGAAGCATTTTGCGGCTTTCGCTAAAGCTTCTAATCGATCTACATGAATAATTAGGCCAAGAGCACGTAAAAGGTGGCCCAACTGCTTGCCAGCGTTTTGCCTGTCTGTCTGGCCATATAAATTAGGTGCAGGAACAGCTGCTTGGTGGGCTGGTGGGCTGATAGGATGGGCAGCAATTGGCGCACCGAGGATAGCGAACGCAAAATACTAATAACAATAATTATATGGCGGGGCAATAAATTTTCAGATGTTTTTCCTTTGCTAGCAAAATTGTTAATTAATTGGGTGCATAACTCAGGGAGTCGCGCTCAAAGGAGCAGAATAACTGTTAGCGCTTTCACAGTAATTTTCATTCTCTGTATCTTACTCAGCCAGCAGCACATGGCTTCTTTGCTTAGGCCACTCACTTCCTATTCCAGCCCTCACTTCTGCTATTGATGAGTGCGGAAATGAAGGCGAGAATGTTGCGCATTTGTGCGACCATTAAAACGTGACTGGATTTGCCGCACTGCCGTCTCAGATGCTGTACATGGCAATTCCGCGCTAAAGCACAATGCATGTTAGGCATAATGGACACGCACACACACACACACACACACACACACATACATACATACGCCCACCAGCATACGCACACATACACTACGAGGCAATTGTATGGCTGCCTGTTGGTACTGGAAAAGCGCAAGTTTGTTCTGGGCGCATAATTAAATGGCTTGGGCTGGGCATAAGTGGTGGGAGTTGGAAAGGGAGCGCCCGCACAAAAAGCGACATTATTATACTGTTGAGTGGATTTAAATGGCATAAAAGGAAAGCGCTGCTGGTCAGCGCTAAAACAACAACAGTTGCGCCAACTACAGCCAAATCAGCAATAACAATGGCTGTCCATGAAAATGTTCCGACCAATGGCATGCATTACGGATACTTTTCTAACAATCTACCAAATAGGTACAATTTGGCTGATATAAAAAATTCCTTTTTGTAAATTAGGCTACAATGAAGGGGATAATCTGAATAGTCCCCTTTGCAGGGACTTTTCGTTTAGAAAATAGTTAAAGGTTTTCTCATTAATATCTGATAAAAAAAACCTATACTTCTAATTGCTGAATAAAAGTCATAGTATTATTCCTTTTGTTTAGAAAAAAGTATAGAATTGAAAATTTTGATTCAATAACAAAGTGGTTTTAAAATTTAATAACTTTTAATAATATTAAGAGAACAGCTTTGGCTTACTTATTTATTAACCTCTGAATTGAATGCAATATAAGGCTCTGATTTATAAAACATCTGATCTAGAGGCTGTTATCATCCGATAACAATAACAACTTATACATAAATTTCCATGTATAATAGTTTTGGGCTCTCTTATACGAACATATCTTCATTATATATATATATATTTTTTTTTTCTGTTTATTCAAAGCATTGAAGCCGTGCATTCAGATTAGCACCTTAACAATACATATTTACAAATATACAATAGCCTAACCTCGAGCACTTCCGCGCAAGGATTAATTCATTATATATTGCTTTGTTTTTAGTTTCTTGTAAATCTCCGGCTCATCAAAAAAATGGCAAGAACTTGCAGATGTTGTCATAACAATTATGAAAAGTATTCCCCTGGTTTAAATATAAGATAAATTATACATAACATACATGAAATATCTATGTTTATACACTATCGTTATCATTAGAAATATCGAAATGTTAAACAAAAAATGCAAATTGTTATTAACATACAATTCTTAAAGTATGCAATGCTATTTGGGTCTACAAGTAGCTGCTCTCTTTAGAGCTGTCGCTACACTAAATACCCGTGATATATTTAAAATATAGTCACACAAATAGAACGCTTGATAAGAAGTACTGATTGCCTTAGTTCCAACATGATTTTATAATTTCAGACTTTTTATTGATGATTAATTCTCATATTTGAAATATACGGTTTCCAAGCCAGAGCTCCGAAGTATTGAGTAATCTGAACAAAAGCGCGGTCGGAATGCGTGTCCGCGTTTTCTCTCAACATCTCTGCACTTTTCAGTTGGCCTTCAATGTGCAAGTGTCTGCTCTGCGTTAGTTGTGTGTTGTGTGGGTGGTTGTTTGTTTATGTGTATGTTCATGAGTATGTGCATGTGTATGTGCGTGCGTGTAATGAGTGTATTTATGCGTGGTCAGCAGCAGGCTAGCCAGGCAGCGTTTACATTAGACGCCATGTTTGCTGCCTGTTGCATAATTAGCGTGCAAAATGTGGGCCAAGCAACCGAAAACATTTTCAACACATTTCAATTTCCCATTTTTCCTTCAATTGTGTGTGTGTGTGTGTGCGTGTGTGTTGTGTGGCATTTTTGAAATGCTAAAAATAAATCAGCTGGCATGCCATGCCGAAAAGTTGATTTGTATGGCGTCTCAGTCGCACGTAAAGTTGCCATTATGCGGCAGACAATCAGGCGGATAGACAGACAGACAAATGTATTACAATTAAAAGCAAAAGTGTGGGCAACAGCTGGCAGCACTAGACACGCCCACAAATCGCCTAGATATACCCGTCACATATGTATATACAAGTATGTATAGTTTGTATAGTACATTTAGGTTTATATAGCTGCTGGCTTCTTCTAGCGCATTCACGCCCTTTACTTAAGCTCAACAATAAACAGAGCGCCTTTAATTAAGATTAATTAGTTGACATCAAGCAACTCAGTGCACACGAAGCTCGTTGCATGTTATCGGAGTCGAAGCCAAACCCAGTACGAGTATGGGTGGGTTAATGAACACAATGAAGCTGAAGCAGTAATGGAAGCCGAAGCCAAAGCGAATAACGATAGCAAGCCACGTCGAGTCGCCTTCATAGCTGCTTCAATCTATTTAGTTTTTATTAATGATTACTCATACGACATGTGGCAACGAGGAGTCCTCATGAGTGACTGGCATTGGCTTTTAGAAAACTTTTTACACGCACACACACACACACACAAAAAAACACAGATGCTTGCGCAACACTTGCCTTGAATGTGAAACCGAAGAAGTAAATTAAATGGTCGCGTTAATGTGGCTTCCTTTGCTCGCTCATATTAGGGCAATGTAATTAACTTTTTGTCTAACTAACTGCTTAACTGGCTAAATGAAATGCCAGCAGCCACCATGCGTGGCAAGCAAATGATTTGAAAGCCCCAACTATGTACACATTATGAAAACCCAAATAGTAGCAGACTGTTTGCTTCTCAAGCTATTTGGGTTCAGCAAGTTTTTGTATGCTCGCCTCACAAACAACATTATTTGATATGCAACGTTTGGCAAATCAAACAAACAAATAAAACAAATCAAACGGTCTAGATG